ACTATTTTCAGGACCCTCTTTCATCAAACACGCCCACACTGGAATCTCCCCAGCCCAGGCTTGCCGGCGAGCTCGAGCCCAAGCTGAAACAATTCCGCGACAAGTTCCAGCAGGTGCTCGCCTTGCAAGCGTCATCGATGACGATGGAGCATGAGCCGTCCCAGACTTTGACTTAGCGTGTGGATTTGGATTGACTACTGTAACCCATGCCCATAAAATTCTATGAAATGCAGCGATTGTAGTTTGACATTTAGAATGCACAGGTCAAAGAACCGCACACACACAACATGACCATGAGTGTGTGTGTGCTGCAGCCTCAAGGAAGGAGAGGGCAGAGCTGCGGAAACTTCTTGTTGATCTTTCCATGGAAGATGTCCAGCTGAACCACGTTGTCACGCGATGCAGGCTAGGTACACCGTCCTTCTTCACAGCCATAGATTGCAAGCCTGTGCGCCAGGGCGGTGAAACCGAAGGTGAAAGCCAAGCCGAAAAAGAGTTCCAAGAAGCGGTCATCCGTTGAATCTGTTGAGTCCATTCAGGACGATGAAGATATTCCAAAGCGCAAAACGAAGAAGCCCAAAAAGGGCAAACATTAAAGTTTTGCAAACCGGTGGGATCACTTGATTTTGATTGGCCCTGTATGCATAGAATGGCCAGGTGGCATATTATATGGAAAGTTTGCTCTGGTGACTGGTGACACTTTTCTCATATATAGCGCTTGTTTGGGAACCACCACATGGCCACAGCATGCACTGGCAGTTGGGGTTTAGCGGTTCAGCAAGTGATGAAAGGTTCGACTCTGAGAGCGCTGAGGGATCAATGAAAAAGTCTTCGTACACCTGTGCAAGCATTGGCTGCCATGACTGATCAAGATTCCATCACTCTGGGGCTTTCTCAAGTTTGTGGCTTGAAGTTGCGCCCAAAATTCCTCAAAGCGATGAGAGGTTGCATATGATATGCTTCCATCAAGTTCTTCACTCACTGACCCCATCCTTCTATTGCCAGGTCGATTGGCCAGGGCTTCCCAATGCCAACCCCGGCAAGGCTTGGCTTTACCAAAGGGACTTGATGAACCCTCCACTTGATCCATTTTCGGATAACATGCACCACCTGTTGGTGATGAGAATCGGCGCTGCAGGTCATGATCCAGGGCCCGACCTGGACGATCTGGAGGAGATCGGTGACGACCTGGCCAAGGAGCTGATGGGCGAGTACTTAGTTGGGGATACTTGGATGCTATATGTGCGGATCTTTTGGGAAGGGTGTGTCTCTGAAATTTCAACCAACTTGTCGTATGCGCTCATGCGTTCAATACGTTGAGGCTGAATCAGCCTATCGTGTTGGCAAGCTCGCTTCAATGATGACAAGAATCACCGGAAAAAGAACCCTAGCTGTACTTGTATGTGTGTTTTTGATTGTTTTGTGGGATGGCAGTGTCTTTTCTCATCTATAGGATATATGTTTTATACCAATTTGTGGAACAAGGTAGAGTGAAAGGGAACCTCTTGGTGAAGGTGGCCGGATGCTATCGGAAACAAAAGAATGCTTGCAGAGACCTCACTCGACTGATTAAGAGAACCTCAGGGACTATGTTGAACCTACCCATCAGCGTGTGCAAGGTCCACGTGCGGCTTCGAAAGCCATCTCGCTGCGCACAGGTGTGGTGGCCAGTTTTGGAGTTGAGCGAGTGGTGCAAATATTTTATCGCAAACAAGCCGGAACTTCTTTTGGGTGGCCACACCCTAAAGGAAGACTGGCAGGGCATGTTGCGGCAGTTTTGGGAGGACTACAGGGTCACATGTCCCCAACATCCCTTGTTTTCAAGGGATGTCGACCCAGGGACCTTTGTGCCATACTTTATCCATGGTGATGAGGGACGGGGGCAGTTGAAGAGGCCATACATGGTCGTCAGCTGGCAATGCATGATATCACATGCTGGGCCCGGAGTCTGCAACGACACTTCGTACCTTGACACACACTTACTTTTGGTCTAATGGGTTGGGAAAATATATTTTTGCCAAACACACACACAAGACTTCTCTTGAAGGGAATTTTTGCCCAGGCATACCTTTACAACAAGATGGCTTTTCTCGGGGATCTCCAGTCATTTGTACTATGAAGACTGGACCATCGACGATCTGCTTGCAGAACTGACAAAGCAAGCTCTTGACGCTTATGAATCGGGTGTATGTGAGCCGCAGATTGAATTTAGTAATATTTAGTAGCTGTGGCTGTAGCTATGCGAGTTTTTGGAGCCATAGCAATAGATATTATTTCAGTCAACTGTTGTCCCAACCATGGGTACTTCATATAACCCTTAGACAGGTCTTTCAAAAGTCGATGCCTCAACGTCGCCCCACCGATCGGCCTGTAAGGATGTGAATGGGACCAAGCTGCACCTGGCCTGCGTCGGTGTGAAAGGTGATTGGCCTTTCTTAAGGAAAGACCCGTGGATCAGCGTCTGGAAGAATTTTGGGGTCTTTCTTTGGGTCGCCAATTTTTCCCGAACCCAGGATTGCTATAAATCTCTTCTAGAACTCCTAACTGTTGAAGCGCGCATGCCTTTCTGCCAAGGCCTGCCATTTACATACCGGACCGACGTCGAGAAGGATATGCCACTTGTGCACCGGGCAGGACAGCTTCTGGAATGGTTTGGGTGGGAGTGGGACCCATACTTAGAGCACAAAACTCTTAGACCGTGCCATATGTCATGATATGTCATGGTTGCTGCCCTTCAAGGAGTGGGAAAACCCGACCGAGAGTGCTGCGTGGAGAACAGGTGGCTGTGGAGCTTCTCCGTTCAAAGATGGTTTCTGCCCCCTCCGTCAGATCCCTGGGTGCAGTGAGCCGGAGAATGTCATGTTGGACTACCTCCATATATACCACATTGGGTATGGGCTGGATGCCGCAGCATCTTCAATCACGCTGTTGTGTTACTTGGGGCATTTTGGGGAAGAACGAAAGCTAGACCTTCGGCTTGGTGAAGCCTACAGGCGATTCGAGCTATGGTGCAAGGCAAACAAACGCACAACTTCCATAGATGATTTTTCACGCCAATCCTTTGGCATGGGGAAGTGCCTAGGCTCCAGGCTTGGATTCCTTTCGTTGATAAGTTCTTTTCACATGCACCATTACAACCGCAACAAGCAGGTGATAGTGCCAAGCGACCGTCCTGTACCTTATTTCCACCCCCCTCCCACACAGCCCAGGCAAGGGAACACATTTCCCACCACACTGGGTGGAAAGGCCTTCGACACTGGTCTGGTCATGGCATGGCTTCAAGAAGAGATAGCAGCTGGCTCCAAGGCAAGGTGTCCAAAACGTTTCGTATCCTTCTGGAGTGTTGAGTTTCCCTATGGTGTCATGGTGTTCAAGTGGTAATTGCTGGGACGGTTGTGGAGGTGGATTCAGGGGATGAACTCTTTCAGATGTGCTCTTACCTGATCAAAACCACGAACCTCTTCTTCCGGACAATCAGGGCTCATGGTGTCTTTCTGAGGGGTGATGCATGCACCATTGCCCACACAGTGGGCCATGAGATGAATGCTGCTTGGAAATACATTCGACAGAACATCTCACGCTTTTGTAGTTGGAAGGGGGATTTGTTTTCACCTGTCACCTTATACCTTGCGGTTGACGAGTAGAAAGCATGAGGTTGCCTTTGCATCCTTGGCTGCTGAAACGTTTGCTGCTGGCTACAAGCTCTTCAAATACCGTCCCAAGTATCATCTTGGAGTTCACCTGGCTCTTCAGATCAAGTGGCCCTTGAGCGTCAACCCATGTTGTGCCTTGGGTTTTTGGATAGTTATTTTTAGTATGATGAAACTTGTACAATGTTAACATTTATGGAAAGGTAGGCTTGCTTCCAATTGGCCCCATAGTTCTCTTGAATTGTTGTGTGGGGCCACCCATTGCCACGATGAGGCCTTTCAACGTGGGGCGATGAAGATTTTATTGGGAAGGTATCGCGCACAGCGCGTACCTGCCATTCCCTGACCCAAACGGCCAGGACATTGGAGAAATGCCTGGGGCAATACGCCCGACAGTTTGCTCTGATGAATTTCTAGCCATGTCCATCCACCTATGGATCTATGGAAGGTCCCAGCGCTGAGAAAAGAGCTTGGTGCCCACATTTACGTGCAAGTTTACTTCAACTCGTGCAGATTTAGGTCTGGATTGTTCCAATCGGCCCAACAGTTCAAGAATCCCAAACGTTCAAAAAATTTTGAACTTTGGAGGGTTCAGGTTATCAAATAAAACAAGATGAAACCCACGAACCCGAATGCAAACACGCACTCGAAAGCAAACGGCCAAACTTTGACACTCTTGTGTGACACTCTTGTAAGACACTCTTGTGGAAAACTGTTCTGGGCACTCTTGTGCGATACTCTTGTCATGGAACACTCTCATGGGATACTCCAGTCTTGCGGGGCAGCTTTTGGACGTGTCACTCCTTTGTGGTGCGGTCTTGTGGGACACTCTTGCGGAACACACTATACTCTTCTGTCTTATGAGACACTCTTGTATACTTTTAAGAGAGATTCTTGTAGGACACTCTTGTTGGAGACTTTTGTGGGGCGATCACGTGTCACTATTTTATCACCGTCCACTGTTACAGGGAATAGGTTATACCCAAATAAGGGTATATATATATATATATATAGGCGTCCCCGTGAAACCGGCGCAATGGCGCAGTAGAGTTCCAGTGTTTTGTTGTCCATTGCTCATGGTATAGAGACCCGCGCACAATTTTGCAGAAGACAAATGGTAGGTATTAGGGAATGATCTACGGGAACAACTTCAAAGACATGCGCCGTGAAAGCTTAGGGGTACCTCCTTCACATGCATCTCCATATTCTGATGCTGCACTGTCTCTGGGAACAGTTTTGCGACTACGTTACCAATGTATAAGTTTTCCTTACCCTGAGACATTCCACTGGGGCGCCGCAAGTCACATGATCGAGCCACCACGTGAACCTCGTGCACCTCCATCGGCCCAGGCTGGTGGCTCATGCCCAATGAGGTCCCTGTACGCTGCACCATGCGAGGCGCCGGGGAGGGGGGGGGGCGTGTTGATCCACAAGAGTCATCCCTACAGGTTCAGTCTGACCCAGCAAAATTTGGCACTGAAAACCCGATTGAGTAGTCTTTTTGAATGAAAAACTCCACTACGATGAGGTCGTTGTCCTGTAGGGCAACATGCATGAAAGGTTGAAAGAACCCTTTGGTCAAGCACAGGACTCGTGAAAGATCGGGAAGGGACCAGATTCGGAACAGTGTCACCTCTTCTGGACCATTGACACGAAAGCCCTCGGGCAAGAAGACGGGTATGCAAGAAGACTTGTCGAGTGCTTGAACAACCACTAGACTGACTAGACGGGTGTGTCCACGGGTGTTCCTTTTTGAGCAGCCACAGAACTCGTCGCTTTCCGAGACAAGTCTTGGATGACCCGTTTGCCGATCCACTCACCCGAGACGGGTCGATCGGAATCGGGGTCGAGACCAGATCGAAACTTCACCTGGAGAACCGGGGACACGGTTTGCTGTATCTCCAAGAAGAAGTGTGGCAAGGAAGGATATTCCAGGTGGTGACAAGAGAGAAAACCATGAAGATGTTCCAACAGAAGATGTTGAGTTAACTTCGAGGTTTCTTTTCTTCACTTCGATCGCCGCCAGGATGTTTGGGCAACAACACCTGTGGTCGCGGCTATGACCAGAGGACCGACGGAATCGGGAGCACGTGTTCACCCTCTCTTTGTTTTCGTATCCGGTCACCCTCTCTCCTTGCATTTTTTGAAGATGGTAACACCAACCCTGCTCTCTTCCCAACACCAACCCTGCTCTCTCACCCTCTCTATCCTGTGCACCAACCCTGCCCTCCGACCCTTTGACCTTCACGGCTCGGCTCGGCTCGGGGCCCACGACCAACGCCCTCACGACCGCGCACACGACCCGACGGGGGGGTCAGGGACCGGCACGGACCGTCGAGGACTCGCTGTGAAACCTGCACAGAGCAGTTCTATGTGGATCTGCCAGAGAGCGACTTGCAACGATTCACCAGAGAAACGAGAAACGGGGTTTGGGTCTGGGTTTCATGTCACAATCCTCCTGCAAGTCGGCATGTTTCTCGCAGGGTGTGGGTTGCAAAACGGGAATAATAAGTAATTATTTGTGCGATCTCGCCTGCGATTTCGCAGATTAGTTGAGGTTCGCAGTTTTTGAGTTTGGTTTCATGACTGTGGGATGATCTGTTTCAGATGTGGAAAGTACAGTCTACCCAGCCAGCGAGATTTCAGGGGGTCTGCTAAAAAATACACACCGTATGCCTCATGACCGATCGTAAGGGTGTGGAAGGGTGTGATCTATTAAGCACCAGTGTTCAGTGTTCCAGTTTTCATCCGTTTTCTGGTCAGAGTGTCATGACCGATGACCGTGAAGCCCAGTCACACCGGTCCCGAGGAACGAAGGGACCGGACCGTGCACCGGGCCGAGACGAGGATAATGGGGGGGCCGGTGACACATCCAGATATTTAGACACCGGGTAGTGAAGTACACACCGGTAGAGCCTGAGTGAGTGACACCTGTTTTGGAGGATCAACTATCCAAGAGATGGTCAAACTTCCTATCAAAACAGAGGTCAGTCAGGCTCTAGGCATCTTTTGGACGCGACTGGAAGGTGATTCAAGAAGATGTTGAAGGTTGGTTCCTGCAGCTGTTCACATCCTTTTCTTACACCGACTTTCGTCACCACGCATGACGAAGGGAACGCTTTCATGACGAATGAGCCACCCCTACCTACGCGCTTGTCACTTCAAACTTTGGGCTTGCCGCCCACACGAACTCAAGTGGGCCCAGAACACATGGTTTTGGCCGAAGCCAACAGATCCAACACCAGGACGTCTCTTCCAGGTCCCTTCCAGGTTGCCTCTGGTAGACCAGGTCCTTGTTGGTGGGCCTCCTCGTGATCTAAGGAGAGTGGAGAGTGTGTGTGAGACTTTTTGAGCCTTACTCTTGGTACTCAGATCGGCGTTCACACCTAGGTGGGCGTGTGGCAGCATTCAGATCAGTACGCATGTCAATAAGTGTGTGTGTGTGTGTGTCCCAGTATGTCCCAATCGGCGAAAGGAACCATCATATGATATGTTTAAGATGGAAAGGCCTGGAACCTATCAATCATCATCCACTGTTGCTGGTCATGGGATATACCGGGATAGCGGGCCGCAGGGGAGGGTTTGGACGACCACCAAATACCTAATACCTAACCCGTCGGGCCGCCCAGGTTCTTGTCGCGAGTGCGAATCGTGGGCTGTGATGTTTGGTGCCATTTATGGCTCCTTGAGCTTCCTCTTCTTGTGCCTCGGCGTTTGAAACTCACGCGACGCGCGACGCGTTTGGGGGTGTACCCCTCGCATGGCGTTTGGGTGTCTGGCGCTCACCCACTCACCCTGTCGACATGAGCTAGAATCCGCATGGCACACAGACAAGGACCCCTGGGCACATTTATACACCGAACATGGACATTTTGCAGGACATAGCTGTGGAGCTGCCACTCCCCTTTATCCCAGTCTCCTTCAACCTTTACACTCCATCGGACTGGGATATATAATATAGTTATCTGACATTGACCCCGTTTCAACCACCCCAACGCAGCTCTAACTCTTCCCTCCTCCATCAGAGCTGCGTTGGCTGAGCCATCTATTACAAAGGGCAACACATCGCAGAAGGCCCCGCTGACCCGACACCGCCACCGCGGACACCACACCGCCACCATCGGTCCGAGGTTCGGCTGCGTTTTCCCGTTCTTCTCTTGGAAGGCTCGTGTGGCCCTGGATCCCGCCCGAGGCCGCCCGCGGACACCGCGCGGAGCGCGCGCGGCGTGCTGGGCGGCAGCGGCACGTCGCGTTTTCTGATTGCAAGGAGGTGTGCGTTAGCCATGTGTTTATATTTATAATTATGCATGTATACATATATAGTGATGATATGGGACTGGACCAGTGACCTGCATCGATCCCTGAATTCGCCCCAATGTAACTGAACAAACCATATAGTGATTGTGGGTGAAGTGACTGCCAGGAAGAAGTGGCGGAAGAGAAGTGTTCACGTTGGATCACTTTGGATTCTGGTCAGATCATATCCGGAACCTTTGCAACCAGCCAGGCCATCCATGCAAAGTTCTTGCAAGGGAAACATGTTGGGCTGTGCTCGGCAAAAACAAGGATACTCCGAAGCATCACACAAGAAGCCATGCCCATAACATGTTCTAACGGAGATATCCTAATCATTCCTGCTTAATCTTCTCCTAGTGAATCGAATGGCCCCCCGAAACAGGTAGATCAGACAGACACTCCTGTAAATCCCCATAGACCTGTGCCACCAGGCGTGGCGCCGCCGAAGTTGTGCTTTGGCTTGTTTCACTGCTGCTTAAAGCGCTACGCGGCACGAAAGCAGCTGGTGACCGCAGAGTATGCGCCTTGGAGAGAGTCTGGAGGTGTGGAGGTGTGGCCTTTTGGTCGACTGAGCAGCGTCAACTGGACGTCTCTTGGATCCATCCTGGGTCGAGCGAGCGCCCCTCACGCACTCACTAAGGTGGACATGTCTCTCTACTACGACAAGGCAGTTGGGGGAGATGAGGAAGATGATGATCATTGAACAAAAGACAAACGGGGTTTTGCTTAAGGTGACTTTTTTGTTTTCCCTATGGTGAAATCCTCTTCTGGTGATTTGTTTTCCAAGTTCCTTAAGCAAATTCGTGCGCAGATCATTTTGTGTGGAGGATTTATGGAATGGATCACATGTCTCTCATCCTTGCAATGTCTCTCTCGGTCATGCTGGGTGTTCAACATGACTTGGCTAATCTTGCAAAATTGTATCTCAAATGGTTTGGCCCTACAATGGGGATCTGGGTTACAAGTTCCTTTGCTTTATATACTGAGCCAACCAACGGCAGATGACTTTATCAATGTGTTGTTATTTGTTGTTCTTAGCTTTTGCCACTGTTGCAGCCGTGGATGGGAGATTGATTTGGAAGACCTTATTCAAGCTCAACATTACTTTTTAGGTGCGACAAAGGATGCAGTTGACAGAGGTCAATCTATTTATCCCAGAGGAACTTTTTTAATCGCTTTGCATCCTCACCTCTTGCCGCTGTTTTGGCCAGTGCAGGTTTGTTGATTCATTCGTTTCCATGTTGGCGGGTCGTGTCCGACACATCGTCATTGTCCACGGAAGTGAAACACGACCTTCTCCTCGTGTGAAACCACGCGTGAAACCACGCGTTTCCACCGGTCAAAGTCGCAGCAAGTCGTGTCGCAAGTCGCCGTGCTCGGCCTTTCCAGTGGTGGAGCTGTACGCGACGAGTCCTCCAGCGCTTCGAATGCTTCTACCACACGCCGGCGCGACGGCTGGTGCAGGGCGCCGCTCGGTTTGCTTAGCTTGGAGCGGCTCGAGAGGTCGGTCCTAGACTCCAAGGACGATGGAAAAGCCTCCTCCCATGGAGGTACCACTGAATTATCTAGGTTCCATACCCCCCCAACTAAACCTCCATAGGGATGAAACGCCACAAAAAGAACCTGGTTGTTTACCTCATTTTCAGCTCTCATTTTCAGCATGAAGGTGGCAGGCGCCACTAGTAACAATTGGATGGAATCTGGAGTCAAGCCTTTTGAACTCCAGATTCCATCCGATTTCATTTTCAGCTGAGTCTCTCTTAGGAAACAACACCGTTCAAGAACACGGGTTTTCCCTTATGGCCTTTATGGTTCTTCCATTCTGTGAATCGATGTTCCACTTCCATCTGAGTGAGTCGGAGAGTATAGCTATGTTGAGTGAATATGAATGGATCCAGTTTAGGTGGTTTGCAGAAAAGAGGGAGAACGAAAGCAAGCTGAAGACATGACATCGTCAATGACACAAGGTGTCTTTCTAAAACTAATAAACCGTAACCCTCCGATCTACCTTGTATGTGGAGGTCATGATGACACTGACCAAGTTCTTCTTGAAGTCTTTGTGAACGCCAGTGACCTTCAGAGTTTTCAAGCACAGACCCCATTGATGTCATACTGCACGACTTGAGTCAGCCGGGGTCCAATAGCGGGTCCAATAGAAACCACCGTTGCTTGGGGTTTTGGATGGTTTTGGTGCTAGTACTCTCGATCCGCTATTTAAAACAAAAAGAGAAACACCCACCGAGTTCACATCAAGTCCAGTCCGAAATCACTGAAGCTGAACGGTGAAGACTGCCCAAGGTTCTGTAGCATAGTTGTAAAAAGGATGAATTTCTTTCATAAATGCATTTATATACGATATAAGAGTATGTTTTTTTTAATGTTCAGACAGTTGAGGTTGGCAAAGATGTCTACCAAGAGCGCATCAGCCACTTCAGTGTGTCTCCCCAATTGGTTGGGGGGCAGCAGGTTGTATTTGGTCGCGTGTGCAGTTCAACATGGGCTTGTCTCACATCACCAACACAGCAACTTGACACCCAGATTCTCCCTATGCATGAATCAAGGCAAACCTTGGGAGACCAGATCCATTTGAACAGACGGCCGTGACCGAAGAACGTCTCCCAGGCCGAGTTGCAGCCTGTGGTCAACATCACCATCAATCACTTGCAGGCGAGAGCACCGAGCTCGGTGTCCTAACCCCTCACCCGTGGCATCACGCGCGTGACGCGGGGGCGGGGTTCAACGAAAGAGAAGGACTTTTTGGGTTGAACTCTACAGATCAATGACTCTGTTTGACTGCGCTGCAAATTATCGCGAAAGTTGCAAGAACATGTGACTATCAAACGCTTTTGTTAATCAACAGTTTGTATTGTATGTTTGAAAGTTTTTTTCTATATTTGGTGTTGCAGTATATAACGAGGTCTATCTCTATCTGAAGGCAAAAGAGCTGGATGGTACCTACAAGCCATTCACGCCTTTGGAGCCTTGCTAATTCGGATTTTAAATTTGTGAGCAGGTCCCAGTATGCACGTCCGCCCCTGTACCGTGACTCTAGCGTGACTCTAGCGTGACTCCCCCCTTACTCGAAGTTTTGTTTAACAAACACTTTAAAGAAACAAGTGTTGTAAACCATTTGTGACTCTAGCATGACTCTAGCCCCTGCAGCAGGCGCCTTGTTGCATGCATGTTGCTTGCATTTTTGTGCACATGTGTGTTTGCAGGGATCGTCAAAAATGGAGGGCAGCATACTGAGCGATATGCGGTTAAAATTGCACGCGCGAAGCTCGCCCTTAAAAACGGCTACGGCTAGCTATTGAACTGTTGTTTGTTGAAACATGTGCTGCCAGGACTTATTTGAATCATATATCGTTTGACATGTTTTCACGAACATGTCTTAACAAAAGTTGTTGAACGTCAAATGAAATGTGATGCCGTTAAACTGCATCACATTTCCTACATCCCAGGAAAACTGCGTCGTTGGATCTGAGTAGGGCTTCTTTTACAGCTTTTTGTGTGGATTTCACTCATACCCCTCGACCATGGCAACAAAGAGGATTCTGGACATGCTCCAGAGGCTCCTGCATTTGCTTATTTTTAAGCTCTTCCAATTTTTGAAGTTTAGGATATCCGTCCACAGGGACCCCTTCACAAACTCAAGAAGTCTGACTTGGTTGTCCAAAACCATTCTTTCTTCCAGTTGGCATTCCTCCGTGCGGCATCCGCGTCGCGCCCAGTTTCCCCATCCCCATCCGCGTCGCGCGGAACGACGTTCCCGTTGCCCGTCCGGCGGAATGACCTTGGATCAGATTTTCTTCCTCATCGCCAACATCGGCTATGCCCACTGGCCCGAGAGAATCAAGGCAGGCTGTTCAGTGGGCGCAACTAGAAGGTTCGATGCCATGTTTTTGTTGCTAGTTTGATATCTGATGGAAGGCCTTTGTGGGTTGCTCATCGATATATCAAGATATGAAAGCATTTATCACAGTCACATGTCGATGTGACTTCCAGAAACACGGCCTTGGTGCGTGCCACGGCCTTGGTGAAGGTTGGAAGACTAGTTTCAATCGCTGACAAAGAGGGCGCCAGAACGTCAGTTGGTCCCATCTTGTGTGGCCTGGGGAGTGGCGATCGGATAAGTTCTCATGTGCGGTTCCTCAATCAGAATTAAGAGCTTCAACAAGGATCCTTTCATCACTGGATATCGAAAAGCGATGAAGGCATCATCACGTGTCATCCCACCATGAAGTCTGAGACGGAATTGCTATTTCCCAGCACAGGTCCCCGAAGTTCCGAAAAAAGGAACACAATCTTGCAACTCCTGCGGATTGGTGTAAGTGTCAAAGGTCAGAACCAGTCCAATACAACATCTAGAATACTACATGTGACTTGTGCCATGCATACATATTCAGACATACAAGTTGTTATAATTGAACTCAAGATGTTTTAGACTCACTCCGTATCTCAATCATCTGCCCCAACCTCGCCGCGTTCTGCCGCACGGCGCCCCGGAGCTTCGATGAAAAGCTCGGCGGACAGACAGCGCACAGACAGAGGACATAGAGAACATATCCCGGACACTCCATTGGGACTGGTGGAACATACCGATCAGTTGGGGTGCGACCCAAACGGGGTCAGGTCCATGTGTGCATCTATGACAGACATCGGGTCATGTCCGTGTAGAACCTCGCGCTCCTCGCGCGCTCCTCGCGCCCTCCTCGCGCCCTCGGGGCTGAGCAGCTCACTTGGCGGAGTGAACCACTCGGGCCTTCAGGACATCTTAAACTTTGGTTTGCTGATGGTGAACAGCGTGGAGTCCCTGAGACCTTCCTGTGTGGCGCCCCTCGGAAGAAGGGGACTCCGTTGACTCCCTGCGGACCGAGTGAGTTGACACCACGCACGCAGGTTCCGCGAAGGACGGCGTGGGACTCCGCCGGAGTGGCGAGCGAAATGGAGCTTTTTGAAGGGGGGCAATCCAGATGGAGGTGGCCAGGTGTGGCTGTTTGAGTCAACCATCCCTAGGGCTCCTGTCCCATGTCCTCAGAAGGTGGTTAGACGGTTAGACCCCAAAAATCCACTCCAACCACCTTCTCAGGAGGTGGTTGGAGCCCTAGGGCATATTCAGAGTTGAAAGGGTCATGGGCAGTTCAAAGGTGACAAGGTTCCCATAGGTCCGGTGGGAGGAAACTGACTGGTTCTTTCTCCTACATGCCACATGCCAGCCGCCTTGACACTGTCCTAGTCACCGATCTCAAGTGAGAATCTTGAATGAGTATGATCTTATGATCTCACCCGATGACCAGTATTGCTTGTCTTTGTTTCATGAAGCACCCCAGTCTTTCATCACCTGGGACATGACTGGGCATAAGAGTGCCTGCCGTGTGAAAGGTGGAGGATCCAAAGAACTGTCAAAGCTCAAGAAGAAACCAATTGACGCCTTGTTTTGATAAGAAAGGACTAAATATGTGGCACTGTGATTAGGTGCTCCAAAATAGAGCTCATTCAGGTTCTACAGGAAAACCAGACTGAACTCCGTTTTGAGTGTCGGTTTTCCTCAAGACTGACCTCAAACAACGGAGTGTTCCGGAGAATTCAGGTCTGAAACCGGAACCAACGCTCCCGGAACCATCGCACCTGGCTGTGAATCACCTTTCCCTCCGACCCCCTGCACCTCGGCCCCTTCTCGGCTGTGAAAACAGGGCGGTTTGGAAGCGTTTACACTCCCTGAAATCATCATGGGAAGTGGTTCCCATAAATGGAAAAACAGCAGCCTATGTGGGTCTTGCGTTCACATGGTCCTCCTTAAAGTCGGCCTCCCCGACACCGATCTCCGCCTGCTCACTTGGACCGATCTCTGAGGCCTATCGGATCTGAGGGGCGGTGGTACATCTTTTTCTTCCTACCCTATGCCTTGTGACCTGATTCCGAATGGAGAATACTCCTGTGGAGACGGTAAGATGTGGATCCAGATGTGATGATTCTTCGATGGGGCATGGGGGTGTTGGTCGGCTTTCTGGTTCCTTTTCGCCTGTAGAGGGACACAGGGTGGGCTATCTCCCAACTTCCCATCCCCGATTATAGTTTATTGGATCCATAGAGTTTTTCCATTACTCACATGGAGACATGGTGAATGGGTCGGTGGGTTGGAATCAACTATATCCATCTATCCTATTTGAATTCCAACCCAACCACGGACATTCTTATCCACTACTCACGTCGGCGGTAACCTTGGACCACCGTTGAACCAGGGTCCTCATCCTTCAGTGGCTAGGAAAACCCGTCCCTCTCGGTACCAGGTGAAAAGTCTCCGTTTCTGCCAGGCAGATGTGCCAAGCAGGCGCCAAGGGGTTCACGAATTTCAACTATCCTCAAGACAGATCTACATTGTATATATATATAATCGTATACCAGCACCCTCGAGCAGGTCTCCACCGGCCACTTGCAGGTCGCCTCCTTTTCAACCACCAGAAGAGACCTGCTGGAAGAGACCTGCTGGTATATATACATATACCCTGGAAGTCCAAGACTGCCTGGAAGTCCAAGACTATTTCAATGTTGGTCTTCAGGTGATCCCAAGAAAAGGAATTTCCTCTACTTCGGTGGTGCCAAATATGATCTTTGGACTTCCGATGGGTATATAAGACCTACTTGGACCCTCCGAAGTACCCGAGAAAATGGGACATCACCCGATAACAAGAGGTACCCATTTTCCCAGGTACGAACGAAAGCGTCTCCAGGTTTTTGTGGGTGGTGCAAACCTTTCCGAAAGGCACGGAGACGGTTCTTCCCCAACAGGTTCATCTGTATACTATATATGCATGTTTCATGCCTTTGTCAAAGGGCAAAGAGACTGTCACTGGATGGATTGAACCTATGAGAGAGTTCCCACCTTCACGTCCTTCAAGGGCTTTAAACTCTTGGGGGCATCTACGTCTATATATGTATACGTCTTGTATAGGTACAGGTGGCACCTTTTGGTTTCAGAGACCGAGTCTATGGCAGAGTCACCGCTTACCAACTAGCTAACTACTTAAACCCCTGCTAGGAATTGGTCAAAAGAGCAAAACCAAAGACTGACCGTTTGACCATCCAACAAATCGCAGGTACGCCAGCGGGATCTTTTTCGTCATTTGCCGCCAGCCGAACCGCCGGCAGCGGCGTCGCATCATCCTCATGATCTCCGGTGGCTTTCTGCTGCTACTGGGTGGATGTCATGAGTGGTATGTGGTGGCGGTTGCTTGAGGGCCATGCAGCCAAGGAAGACCAAAAGGGTCTGCAATTGAACATGGAAAAGTGAAGAAGACTCAATGCTTACATGGTATCAGTATGTATCAGTTATCATCAGTTATCAGGTGAGCAGCTCCTTTTCTTGGCCTTTCTCATGAGGTGCATGTAGGGATGAACCATGAGGTGCCTTGATTGGCAAATCCATAGTTCAGCACATCCTGCAGCCCAAATCAGTCTTATTTGAAGTTCGACCAGGTCGTAGCTTTTGTTTCAATCAGGGAGACCTAGAATGTACATCGGTTTACCTATTTATGTAGCAAGCTTTGTATTCAAGGAATTTCGGGAGCATTTCTTTTTTGGCTTGTTTAGGCACAACAAGCACGGCCCAGCCCACCAAGTTCAGAACGCTCAAACCCCACAGATGACGACCACTTTACGACAAAGGTAGGCTAATTGTCCACTTCAAGGTGGTGCCATCCACTTCCATGATGATTTCAAGGCGTGCTGATTCATTGATCAGATCGGCGGAACCGGTTGTTTGATGCACACAAACCTTCAGACCTGCGGTCGGTTGCGCCAGTTTTAAGCCAACAGACTCGGTTCCAGGTCTTTGACTATATCCCGAGCCAAGGCACATGGACGAAACAGCACGAAAGCGTTGAACACCTCATGAAATTGTAAGAGGCGGTCTGGTAAGAGGTAAGGAGCTTTTAAACAGTTACTCCATATGAAAAAAGTGTGAAAACAACGCGGGATCAAATCCCTCCGCACTCAAAATCCACAATTCAGATGGGACCACCATGTCAAACCCCTAGGGCTCCTGTCCCACTTCCTCAGAAGGGTAGTTAGACTTCCCAAACTCAACCCAACCACCGAACCTGAGGATGTGTTTGCAGCCAGTTTTGGAGCCCTATGGAACGATTACTTTGCCAAAATCTCTAGCAGTGCTTAGCGGCTGTGTTCTTCTTCCTCACTTCCATCTTAACCCCTCCAACCCGTCCAGACCGCCGCGCCTCCGATTTTATGACCCCGAAAAACCGTGGGGCGCAGCCTCCTCAAAGCACGGCTGTTTGGGCTACGACCATTGGTGCTGCCACAACGCAGAAAGACACGCCCAAACATCAAGACCGACACAACCGCAGCGTGAGGTGAAAAAAGAAAGCCGTAAGCCATCCCCACAAGGAAAACCTCTATGACTCTATGTGATCCAAGGCATTAAGGTCCCCAAATCAGGGGGTCATTCCATAGAAGGGCTTGCTATTTTTGAAGCTTGAAGCCTTCAAAAAGGGGGGAGATCGTCATTCTCCGGCCGTTTTCTCGTGTCGCAGCGTCAGGTATCTTTCACCGCTGCATTTGCTCAGTGCCTCCATGATCTTCGACTGCGTCGACTCTGCGGGGCAGCTGGTGCTGGACGCGGATCGTGGAGCCACTTGGGTTCACGGGCGCCTTTGGTGTTTGGTGTTGGAGCTAGAGGGATCGGACCTAAATCCTTTGGAGGGGTCGAAGCAATAGCTAGCTAGGTGTTCTCAGGGACCAGTCAGGCTGTGTTGCCGGAGCATGTCATGGGTGACCATGGAACTGTTCCAGTTGGGGAAACTGGCCGACAAAACTGGGAATCCAAACTGCTGGAGCTTGTAGCAACCCATGAAACTTATTTTTCGACCAATTTTTCAGACAGACCAAATGCTGATTGAGGGGGGTGTCTTGGGAAGATGGGTGAGATGGAGCTGAAATATCAGAATATTATGCAACATCATTAATCATTGTGCCAGATTCTTGACGATGCCTGGGATTGCCCGGGTATAAGAACATGTTCATGTCAGTATGTTGTTCTATATTGGAGATCTACTTTGCTGACTTTGAACCTGTTCCCTCAAGTGTTTGCTACCTCCAGTGGGAAACCAAACGGTTTGTGTTCTTTTCTGAGGCCATTTTGGTGCTTTTCACTCCAGCACGATGTCAGTTCGTTCGTCTCTTGCTTGTTCCCTATGGCACCTGTCATACATAGGAATACATGAGACTGGAACTAATTAGTGGTCGATCAGAACGTGTTTTGAACAGTTCAGATCGTTTTGATCGGTTGCCATCTATGTTGAAAAGAACTCTCCCCCAGCGCAACCGGAGTCAAGCATGTTTGGCTGACGTGGAACCTGAGAAGGAAAGACCCGTGGTGGAAGACCATGTTCCGAAGACTCAAACCAGTGCCAGGTGGTTGCTTGGTTGCTTGGTTCGTTTTGGGCATCGTGGGTTCGACCCGGCACCGCGCGACGACAGGGACGGTGGACGAACCGACGCTCGGACGGACCCAGATTGCCTGCTGGGTGGACCCCGCGTGGTACCGCATGTTCGGCGTGGCAGTGCCTGGGACGAACGACCCGCGGTGTCTGGTCTTTCCGCGGTTTCGAGCGAGCGGGTTCGAGCGAGCGGGTGGGGGCTGGACGAGGGACGTGGGAGTTCGGGTGGTCCTGGACGAATGATCGGTTCGGGTGCACGGACGAAGTATCGGATCATTTTGGATCGATGTGGCTTGTCAGGATTCACTTGTGTTGCTTGCTTGCCGTCGTGAGTCTTGTGGCCTTGACCTCTCTCACCGTGGCTGCCGTGGCTCAAGACCTCGTTTGAACGTTGAACATCAACGATGCAGGTTACGGCTGTATCTGGCAAGACAGTTGCTCAGCTTGATGAGGATGAGTTGCATTGCATGGTGGAAAGTGGGAAAACTGTTCGGGACCTAAAGCGACTTCTTTCAAAGCAGGTAGGGTGCTCAAGGTTTCAGCAAAGACTTGTGAGTGACGAAATTGGCGAATTGCTGGATGACATGCCTGTGACACCACTGCCAAGTGTGCAGCTGGTAATCCTGCCCTTTTGTGTTCTTGACGAGACTATGGAGGAAGAACTAGTCCAGCAATGTCGGGAGAATCACGTGAGTCAAGTTGAAAGACTGCTTCAAAAACCACAGAAGCCAAACAGCAAGGCTTTGTTTGTGGCAGCCCACAACGGTCATTTGGAAGTAGTGCGACTGTTGCTCGATGCTGGAGCTGACAAAGATGCAGCAATGATGAATGGGACAACGGCTGTGTAAATCGCAGCCCAACAAGGCCACTTCAAAGTTGCACAATTGTTGCTGACAAAGATACAGCATTTACAGGTGGGGCAGCAGCTTTGTTAATTGCAGCCCGAGAAGTTGCGCGACTGTTGCTTGAGGCTGGAGCTGACAAAGATGCAGCAAAGACAGATGGGGAAACAGAGTTGATTGTTGCAGCCCAGGAAGGTTACTTGGACATTGTGCGATTGATGCTCGATGCTGGAGCTGACAAAGATGCAGCAAA